AAGCAAGCAGGCAGGCAGGCAGGCAGGCAGGCAGGCAGGCAGGCAGGCAGGCAGGCAGGCAGGCAAGCAAGCAAGCAAGCAAGCAAAGCATACAGTCAGTTCTGCACCAGATATTCTGCTTCTCACATACGGAAATGCTCCTTGTGCCCCAGTAACAAGGTGTCAACACAGGATTCAAGGTCTTCCACACTCACCCAGAGCTATCATTGGGATGTGCAAATCCCAGTTCCACATAAATTTCCCCTATCTTTTGTCTTCACTTGTATCACTTCCTTACCTCACAACAGCCTTCTTCTTAACTTCCAACAACTGAATTCTTACTTGCCAATCAAGGTTAGACTTGAATGTCACCATTCCTAATCACTCCTTTGGCTAAGATCACATAAAGTTCTTTGTAACCTGACCTCAGCTCTTCTTCTAGCCTACATTCTATTAGTTTTAGTAGTTCAGGATTCTTGGACTTTCAGATCTTTGGGTTTAGGAACCGCCTTAAACTTATTAAGTTAAAAAGGTTTTATCCCTAGTGGCATGTAGCAAAGTACAAGATCAAAAAGTATCTGCTGTCTACCTTGGCTGCCGGGCCTACTCCAGTCTTCTGCCTCTACAGCCCTCTCTGAACTATGTGCTGGCATTCCCCCTAAATGGATCTCTCCACCACACCTCTGACTTGCCACTTCCTCAGTGCTCAGCAAGGTCCTGCTTCCCGAGCTAGCCTGCTGGGACCCTGGGACCTTGGGGCCCTGGGGCAGCCTTCCTATCTGTCTTAAATGTCAGGTCTTTCATCATGGCTTATACCATCAAACTGGTGAATTTCCAAACTCTGTACTGAAAATTGAATAGAGGATCTAAATTACAACTCAGGCCCATTCCATTACTATCTATACTGTGACAGACCTGAATTAATGGCAATACATTTCAAAGAAATGGAGACACAGCAGTAAAGCTGGCTGATACACTCGCAAAGAGACATTACTTTTAGAGTGACCAGCATCTCAACTTTCATAAATAGTATGTGTAAGATGTATCTTCATTAGTTTAGAGCAATGGATAAGTTTAAAAATGCTTCATGAAATTTCCAGGTTAAAAACACCAAATTACCTCAGGAACTTAAATTTTTACCCTGTTTTTCCACATATGAGTTTAGTCAGGACACAATTCAAATCAAGCAGAGCACTGCCCAGCTAGGGCTTTGCACCCCGTGACTGTCGATTAAGCACCTGGAAGAAGTTTCCTTTTCAAAAGAAATGTACACAACACAGTGTACGCTTCAGGCTCACAGGCAAGGTTTATGTTTCCAACCTAGTGGGCACTTTTTGCTCCATATAAAAGTCCTATTTTCTCTCTCCTCCATGAGACAAATACTACTTTCAGGGAAAAGATGGAAATGTTGAGGAAAAAAGTTTTATTTGAATTATAAAAACACTAATGGGGGCTGGGAGACGGCTCAGTTGGTAAAGTGCCTGCTGTCAAAGGATGAAGACTTCAGTTGGGATCCCTAGTGTCCAGGTAAAAGCTGGGAGCTGGCATCCATCTGTACTCACAGGAGAGTGGAGGAGGCGGCAGAGACAGGGGATCGCCTAGAGCTCCTTGTCCAACCAGCTGAGCAGATCGAAGAGCTCCAGGTTCAATGAGAGACCATGTCTCAAAAAATGAGGTAGAAGGTGACTGAGGAACATACCTGACATCAACCTCTGGCCCCTAGATACATATATACCCACATGCAGACCAAACACACACACACAGACACACACACACAAGATGGAGCTTAAAGTATTAGCCACATTTAAATCTTTGAAACTCATTGCAACATAGAAAGTGAATTCAGAGAACGTTACTAGCAATAGCAACTACTAATATTATGATAACAGATGCCAGAATTCTGTGCCCTTTGCTTAAATTACTTTTACCTTCCTTCGTTCCTGTTCCCTCTGCTGGAGTCTACAGATGGAGTCATTAGCTGCTTGCACTGAAATAGAACAGACAATGGGTTTTCAACGGACAGCATCTGTTCAAGGAGACATCTGGATTCTTTAAATCTTAATAAACTATTATTAAAAAAATCAAATTCTTTTGGCAGTTGGAGGGGTTGTTTGAATGAGCATATCCCCCATGGGCTTCAGGTATTTGGCCACTTTGTCTCCAGTTGGTGGCGCTGTTTTGGGAGGTTGTAGAAGGTGTGGCTATGCTGGGGCAAGCACATCACTGGGGGCAGACTTAGAGAGTTCTTAAGCCTTGCTGGATCTCAAGTCACTCTCTTGTTTCCTGTACCTGTTTGAAGATGTGAGAGCTTAGTTTCCACTCCTCCTCCAGCTACCTCTGCTGCCACGCCTCCCCACCACAATGGGTTGATTCTTGCCCCTTGGGAACCATAAGCTAAATAAACTCTTCCTTGTTTAAGTTCCCTTGGTCATAGTGTTTCTATCATAGCAACAGAAAAATGACTAATACAGGTGGTTAGAAGGAAAAGAAAGTTTTGTCAATATATTCAGGATGATGTAGCCAAAAAACCCCCACCATTTTGGAGCTTTGAGCCCTCATCAAAGGACACTGAAATCGCCCAGTGACACACACTATATCCACAGCAGGTGGCAAAAGCAAGACCTCAGTGTTCTGTAAAGAAGTGGACCAGATGCCGCTTTCTGACAGCTCTGCCTTTACTGTCTATCTCAGTCCTCTGACCCCTCCTACTCTCCCTCACGCTGCTGTCCTTCAGGCTGTACATCTGTGAGCTTCTGCCTAGAACTCTCCACACTGCTCCTCCTCCCTGCTCTCCACGCTGTGCCTCCTCCCAGCTCTCCACGCTGCTTCTCCTCCCCGGCTCTCCACGCTGCTCCTCCTCCCCGGCTCTCCACGCTGCTCCTCCTCCCCGGCTCTCCACGCTGCTCCTCCCCCCCGTCTCCCCGCTTCCCCAGCCTCCACGCTGCTCCTCCTCCCCGGCTCTCCACGCTGCTCCTCCTCCCCAGCCTCCACGCTGCTCCTCCTCCCCGGCTCTCCACGCTGCTCCTCCTCCCCAGCCTCCACGCTGCTCCTCCTCCCCGGCTCTCCACGATGCTCCTCCTCCCCGGCTCTCCATGCTGCTCCTCCTCCCCGGCTCTCCACACTGCTCCTCCTCCCCAGCCTCCACGCTGCTCCTCCTCCCCGGCTCTCCACGCTGCTCCTCCTCCCCGGCTCTCCACACTGCTCCTCCTCCCCAGCCTCCATGCTGCTCCTCCTCCCCGGCTCTCCACACTGCTCTTGCTTCAGCTTGTCCTTGCTATGGTCACAAAATTCAATTTCTTCGACTATATTCATTAAATTATTTCCATGCCACAAGTACCCAAAATGTTAGTACAGGTTAAGTACAGTACCCCCAATCTCAAAATCTAAAATACTCCAAAATCCTAAATCTTCTGAGTGCTGACGTGATGATTCAAGTGGAAAATCCCATACCAGTCCTCAGGGGATGGGTCTCAGCCAAGCTTCAGTTACACAAAAATAGTTCACAAATTACCCATGGTCTATGTATATGCAGTACACACACACACACACACACACACACACACACACACAAATGAAATATACACGAGTTCTGTGTTTAGGTTCCATTGCCCAAATATTTCATTTAAATATGCAAATATTAAACAAAACAGCCAAAACACTTTTAGTCCCAAATGTTTTGGTTAAGAGATACTCATGCTGGAGCTGTGTGGGAGATAGGCTTGAGTCTAGGGTGATATTGCAACTGTCAGAGTCCAGGAATCCTGGCTCTGTAATCTGAAACCCAGTATGCTAATGAGGCATCCTACCCGCTATTCTGTGATAGGACGTTAAGTCTGTTATGCTAATAGGATGCTAAGTCTGTTATGCTAATAAGGTATCCTACTTGCTGTACTGTGATAGGATGCTAAATCTGTTATGCTAATGAGGTATCCTACTTGCTGTGCTGTGATTGGACCACTACCCCTATATAAGCTTGTGCCTTCCTGCAATAAAGCAGACCTGTGTCACTGAACCTGGTCTCCTGTGTTTGAATGTGGCTCCACAGACACAGTCTCCTCACCAGCCCTGGGGTCCGGGACCAGGCAGAAGCAGCGGCGACAGGAGGCAGCACAGGGCAAGTAGAAGAGCTGTCTCAGTGCCAGGGCAGACAGAAGAGCGGCCTCAGCCCAGGGCAAGCGGAGGAACAGCCTCAACACCTGTGAGAATGAAGGAGTGGCACCCACGAGAACAGAAGAGCGGCTGCCACTGGTGGTGACCATAGGCTGTAGAGATGGCTCAGGAGTTAAGGGCACTGGCTACTCTTACAGAGCACCCAGGTATAAATCCCAGCACCCACATGGCAGCTAACCATCCTTAACCCTAGTTCCAGGGGAACAGACACCTTCTGCTGACCTCTTAGGGCACTGCATGACATGGGTGCACTAACATACCTGCAGACAATACACTCATACACATAAAAATTGTTAAAAAACAGATACTCATGTCTTAATTGAGCAAATGTGTGTCTAAAGCTTTACATGAAAGCCCTCTTCACTTTCACTTTTGACAGATGACAAAACTGAGGCACCTCAGGGTAGGGCTGTCTCTCACTCAGGGAGGCCACATAGGTACGGGAGACAGCATCTCAAATTTGACCTGTCTGACACTAAACACTTGGTTCTTACCATAAATATTACACTCCTCTTTAATTTCATAAATGAAGTCCATTTAATTCCTGAGTTACTCAAATCTTTTTCATCTACCCGCTGTACTGTTACCTGTTATTTCTATTTACAAATAAAGACATTTAATGTGTTGGCTCGCAGTCAGCCATGGCCAGCTGTGACTGATCTCGACCAGATCTTCTTGCTCATCCATCTACTCATGACAGTTACTGAACAGCTGCTACCTGCCAGGTACTGTTCTCACTGTGCTCTTGGTTCCCAGAACCATAGTTCCTCATTCATAAAATGAATACAGCTAACAACAGGACCTCAGGATAGCTATGATCATTCAATGTGGTAGATATGATCATAATGTGGTAGATATGTGTGAAAACAAATTACTTCATCATCACCACCACCATCATCATCATCATCATCATCATTATTTTGTCTTTTTTGAGACAAGACATCATCATTATTTTGTCTTTTTTGAGACAAGAGTCTCCCTGTAGCCCTAGCTGTCCTGGGTAGACCACTAGGTAGATCAGGCTGGCCTCAAACTCACAGAGATCTGCCTGCTTCTGCCTCCCAAGTGCTGGGATTAAAGGTGTGGGCCACCATGCCCAGTTACTTCAACATTATTAATAAAGACCATATAAAAGGACTGGGGTGATGGTTGAGAATGAGGACACTATTTGGATCTCCCAGCACCCCCACAGAACCTGGGCAGGTGTCTATATCCCCAGTGTAGACGGTGGAGTCAGGTGGATCCCTAGAACTCCTTGGCCAGTCAGTCTATCCAAAACTTTAAGCTCCTGGCTCAGTGAGAGACACTGTCTCAAAAGCCAAAACAAAACAAAAAGAGCAAGGAAGACACCTGAAGTTGACCTTTGGCACAGAAATGAGCATAACACACACACAACACAGACACACAGACACACAGACAAAATCATGTATGAGTGATTCCTAGGTGGGTTAACAGTCCTGTGACTCTAACACTTGGGAGGCTGAGGGTCAAGGACAGCCTGGTCTACAAAGTGAATTCCAGCCCAGCCTCGGCCACAGGGGAACCCCTATCCCACAACATACATGAGTCGTTCTCCACACAGAAGAGCTAAGTAGTGTCACTGAGCTACACTATCTACTCTGCTGCCCGTGTGGGAAGGGCTTCCTCTCTTCCTCTCCTCTAGTGCTTTCAATAGTTTCCAAAGCCAGCTCAAGCCTTTCTCATTCCCTTGGGCCCTCCCAACTGTTCTTTCACTGTGAGGACTTCCCTTGAGGATGAGCTTCCTTCAGCAGGTGAACGCCTGTGTGCCACCTGCCCCCTTCTCTCAGGCTGGAAGTCATCTAATTGTCTGACAAATCTGCCTTCCTTCCCCACCCAACTGGGTCATAAGTTCCACAACATGGCAGGGGCTGTGATTTCTCTTTCAGAAAACAGGTCTCTCCCTCAGGGAGCACAGTTAGAAGAAAATTCCATTTTCAAAAGCTGTGTTTTTTACCAGTGACCATTAACTTTGCTATATCAAAGATAACATCTCGATGACTAAAAATTAGGCTCCTGATCATTTTTTTTCCCCTTAAAGAAAACATGAAAACAAAATAGGAGCTGATTAGATCTGCCCTCTTTCTGTGGAATGTAAGTATGACATCATCTTTCCCAGGGTTTTTTTCCTCCCTGGTTCTCTGAACAAAACTAAAAAAATTCACTTTCTTGTGTTTAGGTCCTTTGCCATTTTTGGATCATTCTGGGTGTAATTTAAAAAGAAGAGTTACAGGCGCACACCACATAAGCTGTCCTCTGTTACAGACTTAAAAGTTTATTTAGGACACATCTGAAAAGGGCACATTTTTATTCCTCAACAGGACAGTTTCCATATTTGGAAAGAATATCCATCTTTAGAAATTTTATTCCCTATAGATAAAAATTACATTTGAGGTATTTAACCACAAAATAGAAATTATTTTTCTTTTTTTTAAAAAGACATTTTCTTTTTCTTTTTCTTTTTCCTTCTTTCTTTCATCTATAAATCTATCTATCTATCTATCTATCTATCTATCTATCTATCTATCTATCTATCTGTCATCTATCTATTTATTTTATGTGTGTATACCTTCTTCCACTGTCTCAGTGTGTCACAAGGCTGTACTGACTTGTGAAAAACTCAGTACCTTATCAAGTGCCTGTGTGTCTGTCCATCTCTGAGACAGAGTCTCATGGAGCCTAGGATGGCCTCAAACTCACATGTAGCCACATGAACCCCTGATCCTTTTGCCTTGCCCAGCCTCCTGAGTGTTGGGTTTACAGGCAAGTGTGTTCACCACATGAAGCAAACGCTTTTCT